CATTTAATTTGGAACTTATGCTTCCTATGAACTGCCAAACTAAAAGACACATCTACTTCTGAAATTCCAAACATTTATGTCATCAAACATTTTATCCTTTCTAAAGACACTGTTTCATCAAACATTCTATCATTTCTCGGGTTATTCGTATCAAAGACGCGTCTATATTTGAAATTCCAAACTAACCACCACATAATGACCAAAATTGCTTTACAAGCCACAAACATATGCAACGAATCCAAAAAAACAGGTAAATCACGGATAAAAATAAGCTTATAATAGTCTATATCACACCAACGACTTATACTGAGAAAAATTGGGACTCCACTTCACACTCGATGAGCACATGTCTGATATCTTATGTAGAGTTGTTACAAATCGGGCATAAGGAACTGGAGAATTGAGAAGTGGAGAATTTGGGACGTAATTTCACACTCGATGAGCACATGTCAAATATAGACTTATATAACCTTATTCTTATACGTGATTTACCTGGTTTTTTCGATTCGTTGCATATGTTTGTGGCTAGTAAAGCAGTTTTTGGTCACTACGTGGTGGTCAGTTTGGAATTTCAAAAATAAATGTGTCTTTGATACAAATAAACCGAGAAAGGATAGAATGTTTGATGAAATATTGTCTTTTAGAAAGGATAGCATGTTTGATGACATAAATGTTTGGAATTTCATAAATAGATGTGTCTTTTAATTCGGTAGTTCATAGGAAGCATAAGTTCCAAGTTAAATGGAACGATTGGTTTCAAAATCCTCTTTTAAACTTATAACGTCCCAAAAATACTAAGAAAAAAATCATTTTTATTTAAGTAGAATCATTCATTTCATTCCATCAAAGGTAATCAGAGTATAAAATGTATACTCAAAACTAACATTATAGTGCCATAAAACAGAAGTGTGGAATCTTTGGTAGATGCGATGCAATCATGTCGACCCTTTTCCCTTGCTATCACAAGTACCTGAAACATTTATACTTGAAAACGTAAGCACAAAGTGTATTGAGTTCCCCAAAAATACCACATACCATACATAACCACATACATAACAATATGGCCTATTTCAGCAAACGGGTCTATTTCAACCCAAGTGAGTGTTATAGGTCAAATCATAGTCTTACAATCACTCCTACGGCAACCTATTTAAGCTAATGAGTATATTTCAACCCAAGCGAATGCTACAAGCCAAATCATAGTCTTATAACACCCCTGCAGTTGTCATGGGCTCCACATGGTCTTTCATGCAAACATAACAATAAGTGTCACAAAGACAACAAGCACAAACGACACCTAGTGTCCTATGTAGTATAGTGAGAAAACTCCCCTCTTTATTGAAGTAGACTACACCACAGCTCGTAAAACTAGTGCGAAACACACCTAATAAAACACAAAAGGCAAAACCTTAAGCTACCATCTAAAACTACTCATTTGACCAAAAGTCAACCAGGTCAAAAAGTCAACTGTCAATAGACAAAGTCAACTCTCCATACCACCACACCGTGGCTAGAACCTTGACCATGTTATGGTTTGGCTCAGGCAGATCGCGACAGATTGGACCACTACACCGTGGCCAACACTTGACCATGTCGTGGCAACACTACTGGATCTGAAACTCCATTAAGTCCTTAATGCATTAAGCTAGCCATTCTAACTTTCCAGAAGGCCTCTTTTGCATCCAAGTAATTCATAAAAATCCTAACTTTATGGATATGCATGTCCAATGCATGTCATAAACTTACTTAGGTCAAAAGAATGAGAAATGGGGCCAAAATCTCATGCATGGCACCAAATCCACTTTGAAGTCCAGATCTGAACCACATAATGAACTTGGGACTTCATTGATCCATAGAGTTGCAAACTATATCAAGATGAATCACTAAAATCTCCCCAACAAGAACAACAAGACTCAAAAACATAGATCTAGAAGGAACAACTACAAAAGGTGATGGTTTGAGGGACTTACAAAGATCCAAAATGTACACAAAGAGTTGGAGATGAGCTTGCTTGGTGGTTTTTTGCTCTACAAGACATTCCTTCTCCATTTAAAGGCTACAAATCACTAAAATAAGCATCCAATGATCACAAGAAGCTAGGGCTTTCTTGGGGGGGGGGGGTCTTCTGGAGAAATGGGGGCTGAGGGTGGAGGAAACCATAACCCTCATATCCTTTATATAGGGCCCAAATACCGGAACTTAGGGTTTTGTGCAGAGGGCGACTCCACGCCGTAGTCATTAAATCACCACTTTCGTAGGAGGGTGGCACTACCAGGTCGTGGTAAGGTTATAATCCATAAGATCAAATCGACTACACAAGAGAATTTTAAAAAATAATACCTGGAATTTTAGAAGTTACAAAATTTGATGTATTTAGTTCGTTTTTTGCTTTGGCTCCTTGTTAGAGTGTGTTTTTTTAATGCATTCAGTCGTTCAAAAAAACCCTTAATTCGTATAATATGGAAAAAAAAACATACTAAAGGTAAATACGTAAAATATTAAACTTAAAGGTTTTTTTTGAAAAATATTTAAGGGTTTTTTTGCAAATAATATTTCATGATAACCTGAAAACCTACTGTTACAAGTAAAGAGAGCAAATATGAAAAAACTTGAAAAACTAAAGAACATAAACAAATAAAAAATCATCATAGGGATAAAACCGATAAAAACTGACAAACTTAAAGACTTTTATGTCAATAACCCTTATCAAAATGGTCCTTGTTGTTTTTTTACATTAATAGTCCTTATAAATTAATCAATTTACAGAAATTCTCGGTAGTGTTCTTTTTACATAAATTGTCCCTATAAAATAGCCAACTTACAAAAAGATCAATATTTTACATAAATAATCCCTATCAAATAATATCTTACAGAAGTTGTGGTCCCAATAGTAAATAACAAATACAAAAATAATCCATATTATATATATATATATATATATATATATATATAAGGATTATTTTTGTATTTGTTATTTAATATTGGGACAACAAGGATGATTATTTGATAGGGATTATATATATATATATATATATATATATATATATATATATATATATATATATATATATTAAAACACAACTTTTTTATGAACATAAAACATAACTTTGTTTTAACTTTGGCCGGTTTTTCTTTTTTACATTTTTAACCCAACATTTAAGTTGTTGCTCCTCAAATGTCAAAACATTTTAATCTTACAATTTTGACACTTTTTAAATTATTTTACGAATTTGATCTAATATACCTTTTTACTACTTTGTTTTACCGCATTTTTTTTAGAATTGTGCAGGGTTCAATTCTTCACCAGTTACTTTTTGAATTTTTTAACTTAGGTTTTTTTATGTTTTTTTAATTTTTTTTATTTGAACGACTTATTTTATATTTTTCTTATAATTTGGTTTTTTTATGTAACTTTTACTTTTGTTGTTTATATGTTCTTTTTTTAACAACCTACTTCTCCCCAAAAAGTTTGCATGGAAAATTATCCACAATAACACGATATTACTTTGGTTTGAATGATAACAAAAATTATGGGCAAAAAATGAGTAGATAAAATTGCAAGAATTGTTTCTGTGGTATGTCAAAACTAGCACGTTTGGACTGACAATGGTGGTCCAAAGGTTTCATTTTGTTGCGAGTTTAGTCCAAAAATTTCAAAACTCTTTTTAAAGACATATTTTTCCTTTTTTTAATTTTTTTATTACAAAAAACAAAAAAGAAAAAAAATCTCACTCCACCTTCTCTCTCTCTCTCTCTCTCTCTCTCTCAATCTGAAAAAGCTTTAGCAGGTTGTACGCTAAAACACAAACCTGTTCTTGCTTACAAAAAATTAGAAATTTTAGTTCTTGAGTTCAGATCTTGTATTTGTATGTGTTCATGTTCCAGATTACTTGTATGTGTTCTTGTCAACTTTTGTGTGTGTGTGTGTGTGTGTTCCAAATCCATTTCTTTGATGCTCCGATTTTCTAAAATTCGATCTGGAGATAAAACTACAACATGTGTGTGTTCTTGTGATCTGAAAATCAAAAATCAATCAATACACTCCATCTCTCTCATACACACAACATCAAGAGCACAATATAATCGATGGTTTCAGGAACAAAAACATTTATATGTGTGTGTTTTCTAACCCGATTCTAACAACTAAAAACATCTTTTAGAACTCAAGAACCCAAGAAATCTACAGATCGATGAACAGATCTGAAGCAGAAAAACCCTAACTGAAGAACGAAGATGAAAACCCTAATTGAAGAACGAAGTCGTCGTCGAGATCTGAACATCTCCTTACGACGAATCGAGAAGAAGAGCACGATCGAAAGCAACAACATGGGTCGATCAATGGTAGTTGAGGAATCACGAAGAAGGGGAGCCCGTTTTTCCAACGATCCTCTTGGCCTCTTCGACCTCGTCTCCGACAACAATCGAACCGAAAAGGAAGACAACAGTAACAGTCGACCAATGGAGAGCACCATCAGTGCTCGATGTGACTAAAAAAAAGAAGGAGAACGGAAACGACAGCAAGTGGGGGTTTCGTGGGATTTCTCAGCAACCGGAGGAGGGGTGGCTGGAACGGAGGCAATAACCTCCTTCCTTTGTTTCGTTTTTCTGGTGAGTCAAAGAATAAAAGAGGGAGAGGGGAATCGGGAATAGCAACAACTGAGGGTGTTTGGGTGGTGCTTCGATAGAAGAGGATGAGAATTTGTGAAATCGCCGATTCCTCCTTCCCTTCCTTCACTGGAGGTCGAAACAAGAGAGAGATGAGTATTTTCTTTTTTAGATTTTTGTAATAAAAAAACTAAAAAAAGAAAATACCAAGGGTAAAATCGTCATTTTATAAAAAATCAAAACAAAATAGACCAAACTCGTAACAAAATAAAACTTTTGGACTTCCTTGCGAGTCCAAACTTATTTGGACAAAATTTGCTAGTTTTGACATATCACAGGGACATTCTTACGATTTTGGCAAATGAGTATTACATGAAAAAAATATATCGGTGCACGTTAGTGACTACTACTCCCCGGCCACGTTAGCGACGGCACATTGATATCATCGGTACATCTAAACCAAACACAAAATCCAGTGGACTGCTCGAAGTAAATTTTCAATGACTCCATTGGCGTAGTCAAAACCATCCATCTTTGAAGAAAATTCTTTATCCCTGATACCTTATTTTTCTTAATCTTTAAATACACGTTAAACATCAAACAAATCTTCAGACACTTGAAGAAATTCAAAGGGGGCAAAATCTGATGGCGAAGATAGGGTTATTTGATCTTGAAAAACACTTCGCGTTTTATGGGGCATATCATAGCAACCCAGTTAATGTATTCATCCACATGTTGTTTGTTTGGCCGATTTTGTTCACAGCTCTTGTGATGCTCTACTTTACACCCCCTTTGCTTAATCTGTCGTTACCACATAGCTTGATTTTGAACTATGGGTTCTTGTTCACTGTGATTTATGCTGGATTTTATGTGTGTTTGGATTTGAAAGCTGGTTCTGTAGCTGGTTTGCTCTGTTTTTTTTGTTGGGTTTCTGGGAGCTTTCTTGCTCATCATCTGGGATTCTCTCTTGCTTGGAAGGTAAATTTTACTTTGTCTGCAGTTTTTTTAGTGAATTTTAGGTTTCCAAATAGTATTAAATCTTATTTAGTTTAAATTTCAGATCAATTTTGGTTCAAAACCCAGATTCAAAGCAATGAAATTGAACTCTAATCCCTTAGATTAAGCTCTATTTTTGGGTAACTACAGTGTTTTCTTTCGTTATTTTCTCTCAAGTAGAAGTGAAAGATGTTTGTTCGTATCATAAACGTTAACAGGATCCAAGTTGATTTATAGTGTTTGGATGTGTGTTTTCAAAGTGATTATAAAACTTGTAAAACAAGATAATCAAGTAATAAGTATCTTAATAATCAGTTTTCACCATAATATTTAAAGAATCAGATTCAGGTTTTCCCAAAAACTCTGAACTCAAATGAATATATGAATATGAGAGAAGATAGATATATCACCATATTGTTATATATATATTTGCTCTGTGTGTTTTCAGGTTGTTCTTGCTGCTCAGTTATTCTGCTGGACAGGACAATTCATAGGACATGGCGTGTTTGAGGTAATTTTATGCAAATTTTAACACTTTTCCCGTTTCATTTTTTTCTCATTCTTGTGTTGGTAATAATTCATTTTTCATTTATTTATTTATGAAAAGAAACGTGCACCAGCTTTATTGGACAACCTAGCACAAGCCTTCTTGATGGCACCTTTCTTCGTGTTGCTTGAGGTAATAATTTGTGTGTTTTTATAAGTAAGATCATGTATTGGAGTACACCTGAAACATAATAGGTTGTACTGTGTTTGACTGAGATTGCGAATGATGTCAATATATGACAAAAATTTACAAAGTTTTTTGTCCCACTCAAAAAAGGTGGGACATGGACTCGCTCTCGATCTTTCGTTTGTGCAAAAGACAAAACATCAGATATAAGAAAGATAGTCCAGTCCAATCCTGCCCACGAAGGACGACTATTTTACATTGTATCTTTTGTTGTTGATGTTCAGGCACTAGAAATGGCAGTTGGTTACGAACCATATCCAGGGTTTCATGCTCGTGTTAAAGCTAAAGTAAACGAAGACATCAAAGAGTGGAAGGACAAGAAGCAAAAGAAAATTTCATAAATTATGTCTTAAGTAATGAAAATCTATGCAACATGCTAAATATATCGATTTGTATCAAAACTTTGTGTTGTTTTCACCGGTCATAACAAAATAAACCAATTCCATTCCCATTGCGGATATTAAAACTATTCCCAGGGCTCGGTTTTTGAACTCCATTATCTATCATCAATCGTCTTACTCTCGAGACTTGATTCCAATCTTCTAAACTTGCATAAGTATTAGCAAGAAGAACATAGTCACTGCTATGATCTTCCACTTCCAAAAGATTCCGTCTCACAATCTCGGCTAATTTCACATTCCCGTGAACTCGGGAACCGGCTAAAATTGTCCTCCAGATGATGGAATTGCATTCCATCGGCATATTTTGAACTAATTCGTAAGCCTCAACGACTAGTCCAGCTCTACATAACATGTCAACCATGCACCCATAATGCTTTATTGTTGGGGTTATGTGGTATTCTTTGATCATTTTATTGAAAATTTGTCTTCCTTTTTCGATCATTCCTCCATGGCTGCAAGCACTTAGGACGCCCAAGAAAGTTACATCAGTGGGTAGTGCGAGTTTTTTGTTTATCATTAATGAAAATATGTTTATTGCTTCTTGGACATGACCATGTGTCGCGAGCCCTAATATCATTGTGTTCCATGTTACTATGTTTTTATTGTTTGTTTTACTGAAGATCGTTTGTGCTTCTTCAAGTTCTCCACATCTTGTGTACATATGAATCAATGAGTTCACGATGGATATGTCGTTCATTAATAAACGAGTATTGATAATGGAATGGACCCATGTCCCGAGGTCCAATGCTCCTAGTGTGGCACAAGCTGATAGGATGACCACCAGGGTGGCATCGTCAGGTTTTATGTGGGCTTCCTGCATACGGGAAAACAAGTCGAGTGCTTCTTTGTGTTTCCCGCAACAAACATGGCAATCAATTATGGTGTTCCAAGCGACTAAGTCTGGTTTAGGCATTTCATCGAACAACTGGCGTGCAACCTGAACGTTTTTTAGTGTTCCGTACATGTGAATCAAGGTGTTCCGGACAAAAACATGATTTTCAAGGCCGTGTTTTATGACACTGGAATGAATCTGTTTCCCCAGTAAAACAGATCCAGATTGACCACTAGCTTTAAGCAAGAACGAAAGAGTGAAATTGTCAGCAACACCTCCATGGTCGAGCATTTTCTTATAATAACAGAACGTTTTGTCTACTTGATTCATCCTCGCAAACCCTCTAATCATCGTGTTCCAAAGAAACCCATCTGGGTTCTCAATCTTTTCGAATACGGAAATAGCATAATCCATAGAACCCTCATTTGATACAGCACAAGACACGATAATCTTACCCACAACAAACAGGTTTTGAGTAAAACCAGTTTGAACCACATGAGCATGGAGTTGTTCAATGTCTTTCTTGGTGCAAGCTTTCTTGAACATAGAAAGAAGAGTTTGCTCTTTCTTTGTGTAACTTCCGCCATGTGGGTTTGGAATCTTGGTGGGTGTTTGTGAAGAAAAATGACAAAAAAGATCGAGATTTGGTAAAGAATGTGTTGAAAAGGAAACAATTTTCCATTTTGATGATGGTTTTATGAAGTTAAAGCATCTATTCACCATACTAACAAACTGATACAACTTACAATTTGAAAATTTGTATATTTGGGAACAGTTTACATCATCTTTGATACAAAAGTTTGCTTGGTTTTGTCATTTTGTAGAACAGAAAACATAGTGTGATGGGTGATCACAACAGAACTCCAAAAATACACGATTTGTATGAAATGAACCTAGGCAACGTTTAACGGGCCAAAGTCTCTTTAATGCATCTTAAAAATTCTTTACAAACTAGTGATTGTTTTATTTATTTATTTAAAAAAAACTATATTATTATATTTAATAAAGTAGATTCTAATCATATTTAATTAATAGATTAAGTATAAATTTGCTTAAAAAAAGTAAAAAGAAAAAAAAAAGGTTGGTCAGCTTAACCCAAATATGTCTATGTTTAAAAATACGTTACCCGGTATATCCATATGTTTTGCCACCTTCAATGAACTTGGTTATTTTTTTCTTCAAATAAATACGATTATTTGTTAGAATCAGAAATAGAAGGGAAAGGGGAAATGGTCTCGTGAAATAGAAAAAGAAGAGGGAATAAGGTTTGTTAAAAAATTAGAGTATTTCCGAAATATGTTCTTTTTTATTCGAATATAACTTATTCTCTTAAAAATTAAGAGTTTGTTAGAACAATTGAGAGACAAAAATTAAAGGTTATCAAACACTCTCAATTGAAAAATTAGGAGTTAGTCTCTTTATTAAAATATTAAGAGACTATCAAACAAACCTAAGTTTTATAATAATATCTAATTATGCCTCACATACGTAATAGGCTAATTTAGTAATATGAATCGAAGTCATAGCCATCGATGGCAAGATGAGTCGAGTCAAATGATAGTACAAATAGATATAAGTAAAAGATAGGTCCAAAGTTGTTATATAAAATATAAATAAATAATGGTCCATATTTTTATAAAATGGTTTAGGAGTTGTAAAGTATATTTTGGACGACATATAAATCATACTTAATTTTAACTGAACTTTTTAATTTTACAAATTACACTCTTTGGAAACTAAATAGGTCAAAATTACTCCTTTCTAGATTCATGGATTCAACCTATTCCCTCAAAGAATAAACTATACAAACTCATGTATACTTTTTGATGGATATGGTATATACTATATGGACATGGTATAAAACCGAACTCACAAATTCAAGAATGAAAAAAATCTATTTGGTCCGCCACTCTTTCTTTTTTGCCATCATAATAAAATGAAAGGCAAACATGATAGCAACAAATTCCATATAACAACGCAATTAAACCAAGAAGAATCTAAAGGTGTTTATGTACACATGTCACATATAGACAAAAACATGACAAGCAACTACTCTAGTCTCAGTCTTAATCGTAATAATTAGACATAAATCGTAGAACAACAAACGACCACACATGATCAAAGGTATTGGAGAGTATGGTTTAACAAACAAAAGTTGGAGGCAAATATTCTTTTGGAATGTAAGAAATGGCTTTACACTTGCCATGACCAAAAGCTACCAAGCAAATTGTCCAAAACAAGAATAAAGGTTTGTTCTCTGCAACCAATTTCATTAGGGTCATCATCGCCTACGTCTGCACCCCTAACACTTTGTTGGACTGTAATGAAGAGAAAGTGTATTCTGTTGACGTAAGATTCGGTTTTTTATGTTTGAAGGGAACTCTCAATTGGTTTGTAGCTTTCAGACTAACGGATTTTATTATCGATTCACGAAAAAAGAAAAAAGAGAGAGGTAACGGTTTGATATGTCATCAATTTACATAAATATATAAAAAACATAGTTTTTTTTAAGATACCAAATATACCCATTTAATATATTTTTTAAGTTCGTTACCGACATCTCATGTCTACAAAATAATGCATTCGTCAAAATAAAACAAAAAAAATAAGATATTATTATGTTTTTGCTTAAGGAAATGGAAATACATTGGCCATATGGGGATGAATTTCTGTAAAACTCCAAGTGTAATGACGTCAATTTTGTTTTATTAGTTGAGGGTTACTTTCTATGGTTCATTCATATCCCCACACATGTACAAATGGACAATCTGTCGTATGAAATAAATTCTTTCTAATAATTTATATTTCATCATCATACTCATAAATCATAATCATGTATTAATTTTTATATTATTATCAATTATTTGAAATTGTCCCTTAATTGTCTCAACTCCCAAATTTGTCTTTTCCGAAAAATTTATAACTACAAACGCGATTCATGTGGTTGGATATGAGAAATAAAAGGGTAACGTAATTATAAAGATAAAGAGACGTTCGTTACCATTTTTGCATATACGATAATTTTAACCCATATAAGTATAATTAAAAAAAAAATTAAATATGTTCTTGATATTTTTGTATTTTGTACCATCTAACTTATTTATCTTATTAGTTCTTGATCCCCGTCTCTCCGAATCTACCATATATTTCTTTCTATTCATCTCTGTCATTTTAATCGTCCAGTGGTTTCCTCTGGACAAAACTATAAAAGGTCGTTAGTGTGTAGGGTTAGGGTTTAGACCCAAGACCCTTATAATTTAAATATTGTTTTTATATATTACTGTGTAATCATTTAAGAGATAAGCAATTTATCATATTTACATATAAGACTAAGGCAATTTCACATGTGCTTTTCATGTACCAAAACGTGTAGATAAATGGTGCACACATTTCTTATCAACAAAGAGATAGTGTAAGAATTTCTAGTTCTCAAAAGTAAAGCAAGAAAAATCGGCATGCATAGAACGTTGTTCTATTTCTTCGTAAGATTAGACCATTGCACGGAACAACATTGTTGCATTTAAAAAAGGTAAATAGTACAAAAATCATTAAGTTTATATTAAAATTCTAATTTGCTACTGTGTTTTTTTGTTTCAAATTTGACGTTGTGCTTTTCAATTTGTTACAATTCTGACCAGTCAGCCCGGTTACATGCTATCGTGACACGATGATGTGTCAGTTTTGATGACAAGACATGCTGACGTGTCAAAATTAAAATATTTTTCACAAAAAACACTCAGTTTTCACTTTTTTTTTTTTTCAATTTTGACACTATTTTTTTTTCAATTTGACACTATAATTTTTTTGTTCCAAATTGAACATTATTTTTTCCAATTTTATTTAATATTGACTATTTTCCATTTGAAACCATATAAATAATTTTTATTATTTTATTATTTTTTATTTATTATTATTATTTTTTATTTTTACATTTGAAACCGTATAAACACATTTTTTTTCATTTAAACACCACATTTTTATATAAATACAAGGGTTTTTTTTTAAATATTCAAACACTAATTTTATGTATAAATATGTATTAATTATATTATAACCATATTTTATATTAAATACGCAACTTTTAAAATGAGTTTGGAGGTTTGGAGGCGTATAATTGTTCAAGGCCCAAAGGCAACGTTTGCAACAAGTGAAATTTTTACAACTCATATAATATTCATAATATTATTAGGAACATCTTGAATCTTATGGTGTGACTCCCGAAGGCTATCACGACTTAATCTTGATT